CATTCCGATTTAACATTTGATCTAAGATTTTAAAATTAGAGTTACAAATTTTTGTCTAATTGAGGCATCTCCAAAGAGCACAATATGAATTGATGATAGTAAAATGAAATTAATACCTAAATTAACCAATGACTTGTTAGTTTGGATAGAATTTGATTTCTTTTAAATAAAATTTTGAATTTAAGTTTATAAATAACGAAATAGGTTTTTGGAAGAATTTCTTTTTTTATGGGATTTGATTCAACATTACTTTAAATTAATTAGGATCTAATATAATTTTTAAATATTAAAAGGTTACTACAAAAAAATATATATATATATCTAAACAAAATTAATAAAATGTGTTAGACCAATTTACATATAGTAGGATTCAAACACGAGGCATAAAAATTCTAGAAACTTCACTTTAATCTATAGTGAGTTAAAGCTTTATTGGAGATTTAATTTTGTTATTTAGTCAATGAACTAAATACTTTATCTCGTATGAAAATAAAAGGCTAAAATTTAATTCACATGACAGGTTGATATAGTGAATTAAAAGATAAGAAATGATTTTCTTTTATTATGTAAAAATTAACAATTTTTTTTTTATTTTTGGGAATTTGTTTTATTTCTTTATTTATTTATTTCACCATTTTTTTTAGTTAGTTACTAAAATTTTGGTGGTGAAAAGGATATGGGCTTTGCCGTTACTTCAAGTCATGAGGCGTGGCCCCAAGTTTGTTCTGCCTAAGGACTATTTCCATTTGGATTTGGATAAATGGGCCTTTCCTAGAGCCAGGCAACCCAAATTGCTCTCTTCAGAAAATGACACCCTCCAACTATCTCCCCGCTTGCGCCCTCTGTTTTCTTTGCATGAAATCAACAAGAGACTGCTAATAAAGTTTTAAGGGTGTTTGTTTTAGAAAGTAGAGGATAGATATCAATTGTTGCTTTCAATCAAACGGTTTAAATACTTTAAATTATAAATAATAATTATTATAAATTGTTAAATATTGATTATTAATTATCAATTATATTGAAACAGTTAATTTAAATATCCCCTTAATCAGTTTAAACAGTGTTTGTTTTAGAAAGTAGAGGATAGATATCAATTGTTGCTTTCAATCAAACGGTTTAAATACTTTAAATTATAAATAATTATTATTATAAATTGTTAAATATTGATTATTAATTATCAATTATATTGAAACAGTTAATTTAAATATCCCCTTAATCAGTTTAAACAATATTATCCAAACCTTTTTTTTTTTATTTGATGTTATCCAAACCAATATTTTAATACATGCTTCTTGAGTTCATTTCTCAAAAATGGGGCTAAAGATCTTCACTCTCTCTAGATACATATAATAGA